TTTCGCCCTGTTTGGGACTCGTCAGCAGTGCGTACATTTTGTGTCCCTGTCAGAACTCTGAGCAATCGAATGGGCTAATCTAAGCTTGATACTGTAAATAGATTGTAGAGGAAAATTGATGTCCGGCAAAAGTCTGATATGGTCCGGTTTTCACCGTACCATCGGGCACTTTATACATTCAAATGACTGGCAAAACAAGTGGATATCAATTGGACGCGAACGCCCGGACCCTAATCACACTATCGTGTCATGCTTTACGCTCAGCTCTCAGAGAGCGAGTAATTCGGGCTACAATGTTATTCATAAGCCAAATCAAAAGTGGTTTTCCGTATACAAAAAAGGACATTTTCAGCGTGGTATGCGCCCACCGCTCAGGGTCATGGCAATTTTATCGTCAACCGTGTGAAAATAAGCTGTGACAGAACTATGGAAACAAGTCAACCATGATTAATAGATGGCGGTTTTGTTGTCTGTGCATTAGTTTCTGGGACATTGTATTGATTGGTCAAGGTCTGTCATGTGTAAGCGTATGGATGAGCCAAAATGAATTGACTGACTATCCTTGAGAACGAAATCTTCTCAAACACGAACTGGCCATTTCTGTCAGCCCTGGTGAGAGCTGGCCTCCCATGAAATATCATTTATCCTACACTACTACCCCCAAAGTAAAAGTGATGTAAATGTACAAATGATGACTTCATATCCGCTACCGCTGGACGCAAACGATCCCCGCTGTTAATGTTGCTAATTTTGTGATAACATAAAGCAGAAACCTGACAAGAAAGAAGAATAAGAACGCTCAGCATGCCTATATTTGCCCATCATCATGTTTTGTGTTCATGGGATAATCAAAAACCGTGGCCCATGATGAAAACCCAGATTGATCCGGGAAAAGGTAGGTAAACAAAACATCTGAAAGTAAAGGAAAATATTAATTTACTGTAAAAGTGTAAATATAAAATATGCCCATATCTACTCCAAGTTGCAGAAGGTTCTAAAGTGGGAAGATAGTAAAATACACTAAGAAACAATTAAAAATCAACGCACGAAATTCACCCATTTGACCGGCCCATTTATACGGAAAGAATAACATAATTTTCGGTGTACCATCAACGAGTCAAACCGGATTGGGTATAGGGGCAGGAAGCGTAATCACTACAAGATGGGAGCAGTGGCATCCACCAGGCCAGTAAGAGGCTGGCTATGAAATGGACTGAATCGGAAGAAATTAGGTGCACAATTGACAGCAGCAAGTGGCGAAACATCAAGTGGCTGAAACTGAACATCGCCTATTAAACAAGGATTGAAAACCAACTAGAAGAAAAGTCTCAGACAATGAAAAAACCATATTCAATAGGAAGGTTGTTTGAATCGATTTACCTATCGTGAAAAGAACCAGTAGATTTTTCTCTGTGCTCAATATACTTTTTGACTGATTCTCACGATAGCACCGTAGGAAGTATCGCTGGTTAATCCACTTTGTGCATAACCAAGAACGGCAAATCAGTGAGCGAAGGACACTCATTTTGATCAGACATATATGCAGAAATTTTTGGAAAAAACGTTCATTTCTAGGCATTACATTGAAATGCTGCCATATTAAACATGTTTCCACATTCTACTTTTCTTGATTACACATAATTATTCATTGGACTAGGAAACCAGAGGTTTTCTCAGGGTTTAAGGTGTTTTTCTTCAAGTGTGGCAAATGTTCCCCAAAAATCAGTAAGAACATGCAATTGCGGGAGCTGCAGTTTATATGCAGCTGCAACCAAGCCAATGAGGGTGCGCTGATGTTTATTAACTTGAACTTGTCAAATGATCTTAAAATTGCATTATTTATGATAGGAGTTCAAAAGATCCCGCGGTACCCTTCATTTTGCTGAAGATTACAAAACTCTGGTAGCAAACTTATGGCTTTGTCCTTCTGGTCACTGAAGTGTAACTTTGGTAGGAAAATCGAATGCTTTCTTTCTCTACAACCATTCAGACAAATAATAATCACAGAATGTCGGTGAAATAGCACCTATATTTGGGAGGTCAAAAATTTGAAAAATATCGCATTATTTCACAATTTTTAAAAGCCGGTTGTATTCAACTTGGTCAAATAGTTCAACAGTAATTCAGAATTTTACCAATTTATTCAATTTGAATAAGTTTGAAAACCAAGTTTTAAACCATTTAAACACAATGGAAAAATGGAAAAAATTACAACCAACACTAGCTGACTGCATCTAGGATATTGATGCTTTTCAAAGGTGCGATATTTCCAAGTAAGCTTTATAGTGAAGTGTATATAATTGG